GTATGTATGTGTGTACGTATGTCTGTATGTATGTATGTATGTATGTATGTATGTATGTATGTATGCATATATATATATATATATTTATACATATCGGGGGCACAACATAACAAGATGAAGGTGTCCGTGAAGTTATTTCACTTTAGAGAAGCCCCTGTGCCACACCTTTGTTTGGAGAGCCGTCACAGGTGCCTTGGTTTGTGCTTGTCTCGTAACATGCACGGGAACGTACAACATTGGGTAGGATGACTCGACATGCCTTCTTTGGTGTTAACCCTGATGCCGATACGCCTAATGCCATCAGCCTAACTTTTATCGCCCGACACGCCCCAGTATTCGTTTCCGAGGGCCCCCCACTTGGCCCAATTCTCAACCCGTAGCGCACTCCTAGCAGGGAGGCGCATGCGGAGATGGCTGGCTTGCCGCTTGCCTTGGCAGTTGTTTGTTACTACTGCCAGTCCAGGAGCAATGCTGGTTCGATGATTGAAGATGCAGTATGTCTTTATGATAATGCTCTTCCCGGCGTGTAGTTCACCTCTACACTTCTGAACTTGGGCACCATTCTCTGTGACCCCTAGAGTTTCAGGCTTTGGCATACGATGTTGTGGAGGGCTTCCATATACTGCGCGGTGGCATACGATTACATTGAGGCTTTGGTGTGGTGTTTCGAGTGCATCAGGACCCCAAGCCGAAGCGCTCGTTATGACCTTTCAGATTTCCCAGAGTTGAGCTCCAGACAGGCAGCTCCTGAGTCGCGAGCGCTGTCTATTGTTTCTTTACATCGGGTGCTGGTTTTGAAAACTGGAATTTCGCAGCTCAGAGTTCATGAAGGCCAAACCTGAAAGCCGGAGGCGGATACCGTGACTATCTGACTGTGCCAGAGCCCGACAGTCCGAAGCCACCAAAACCAACAAACGGCCGAGGGTCGACCGGCTGCCGAAATACTTGGCACTCGGCCCAGCACTGTCGCTTGAGACTTCCCCGCCCTCAAGGCCTTCAACCGTTTAAGACTTTGTGACTTAGTGGTTCTTTGTGCACCCCACACAACATCCCAAAGCCCTGAAGCCCAATGTAACCTAAAGGTTGAACCTCCAAACTCGAGACTGTTGCACGAAGCCGTTTCAACTCTCAGGCATTGGAAATTTGTCACAGATGTTGTATGATCGGAGTCGATGGTGTAGCGCACTGATAGCCTCGGTGAACCTCTTGATCTGAATTCTGGTAGGGTTCAGTTACGGCGCTCAGGGAACCTATAGACGCTAATCGCTGCAGAACGCCGCGTTCTCCACCAGTTGGCACTTGATCCTTCAACACACGCATGGCTGCCCGCACGTTAGTATTGCGCTCAATGTGTTTACGATTCCGTAGTTTGTCTACTATAGCACTCGAGTCTATGATTTCGTGTAGTTGTTGATGATAGTTTTCGTGGTTTTGCCAATTGCTCTTCCCAGGTCCTTTTCTGCGGTGCCGTCAGTTTCAACATTGCACTCACAGCCCTAAACCCGAAGCCCCGGAAGCCCTGAACCTAGACCGCCGTGCCTAGGCCTTGACGCGAAACGCACGAGAATCAGCGGCTGCCATGAGCCAGCAGCGGCAGAAGTTCATCGACCACATCAAGCCCGGGACTGGGAACAAGGTGTTGAAAGGAAGGACCTTAATGACGCTTTATGATCCGTATCCTAATCCGTGATAGGGAAGGGCTTTTTGTACACATGGGTAGCTTCACAGGCTAGCCCTTTCGTTGGGTCAGGGCTCAGCGACCAGAGATTCGGTAGTTCTAGCAGCCTGCTACCACACACATTCACCCCCAACACCAAACCGAATAAAGAGCCTACTCCCCAATTTGAGTTCATCGTGGCAGCACGCTTTAGTCCAGAAAGTCAGTACTTGCGAGTTCTCAGAGGAGCATGAATGCACACCTAGAGTTAGAGTGATCAGAAGTTAGCCCAAGCTGAAGTGTCCCGCTGTTTCCGGTTGCGCACACTACAGACATTGCCGAGTTCGGGCTTCGCGCCTGCTGCAGGTCAGAGCCTTGTTGAAATACTGTATCCCAAAGCCCCTTTAGCAGGCATTCGTCCTCGAAGCACCAAAGCAATGCCGAACGTCTCCAAAACTAACCACAAGGCATTCATTCGACAAAGCCCTCGGCGCTGCCTAAGCGAGACATGAAGCAAGGGAAGCCTCAGCCTGAAACAGAATCCTTAAAGCGAGAAGGTCCTTGAAGCCGAAGTTCCTCCGGGATCTGAGGCGGACGGCGGCTCTGTGTAGGGCTTTGCGGTTTATGGTGGCCGGCTTGTTCGATGTGGGGCTGAGGGAAAGGACTCTGTAGAGGCAGACTGCGGGATTGCCGTCATTTTTGTTGCTGGTGTATACCTGAATCGCCCAGGCACCCCGACAGACATATACAGACTATTGGTTGGGCAATGCTCAGCATTGGTCATTGGTAGCGTGCAAGATACCGCGTAATTCTGAGCCGAGCCTTAAATTGAGTGTTTGCCGCCTCGGCAGCCTGCAGCCTTCAGCCTGCAAGGGTTTAACGTGTGGGATTCGGAATTTGGGGGCTTTTCGGCATAGCAGAGGACGGCGGAGTACAGTCGTGAAGCCACCAGCAGACTTGTGCAACGTGACCATCTGCAAACAAACAAACGAGAATCGACAGCAAGGGCGCGCAGAACTGATCCATGACCACTCGCTTTGGGTAGGGCTTTTTGCCTCGGGTCGGAGCATACTGCATCCGCCTAAATCACCACTCATCACCCTGCTGCAGGCAAGGGGGAGCCAAGAAGCTCAAGCAGGCCATCTCAGAACGCTTCACGTGGATGGTGATAAATTGCATTCACTCAGTACGATGATACGAGGGCCTTCCCCTTAGCGCTCATCAGAACCTCGCTGAAGTGAAGGGTCCGGCGGGAGGGAAAAGCGCTGACTCCAAACCCTGAACTGGCCCTAAACCCTAGATATCAAACGATTCTGGAGAGAAACATGTGATTTCTCTCTCTCTCTCTCTCTTTCCCTCCCTCCCTCCCTTTTAGTCCGTGCGAAGTCGCTCAACACAGCCTGTGAAGTCTATGCAACCATTAAAGAAAAAAAAAATATATATATATATATATATGCAGTTTCTAAGTCTCAAGACACTTCAAGCTCACCGCTGTCTTGAAACTACAGTACACGGAGCCAATTTCGTGCACGAAGTTGCGCAAACGGTATACACGGTGTTATACATCAATCCCAAGAGGTCTGTACCCGAAACCTAGATCACTCGGACCTCTCCACCCCCAGCCTTCGGCCATAATCCAAAACCTGCAGGATATCGAGACAAAGCTGGATGAGGAGACCCTGATGAAGCAGGCACGGGAGCTCGAAACCGCAGTTGCAGGTTCGGGCAGGAGCCGTCGTGGTAGCAATGGTCGCAGTAACTTGCGTCGCGAATCTTGTATAGCATCAGCCGTGGTCGCCCCCAGCAGCAGTAGCAGTAGCAGCAGCAGGAGCAGCCGCAGCAGCAGCAGTGACAGTAGCAGTCGCAGTCGGAGTAGTGGCTATTGCAGTAGTGGGCTGTGCCCCCCGCGGAACGATGGCGGATACTCGAAGTTGTTCCAAGAATTCAATACAATCGGATTTTCCCGGTCCGGTGTCTTGCCGAAATTCGGACCATGTTTACCCAGATTGAATCAGGTACCTAAGATTCAATATGATATCTCGAGGACGGTGCACAGCATTTTTAAATTGCAAACAAGATTCAACAAGACTTACATGGTAGTTTAAATAAGATGCTGCTAGGCCCAGTGCATTCCGCTTTGCGCCTTAAGCCCCGAGGTTCAAAGACCAAGGAGGATTACGTGCAATAGGATAGAGATTGACCATGCAAGAGAAGCGGACTAGTGTCCTCAAGGGACTTGCCGACACATGAAGACACATATCGGCAAATAAAGACAAATGAAGGGAAACCATGCCAACAAAGACGTGATTGAAGACGCTTGAATCAGACTTTGTACCGAGTACTAGTATTAAAAACTTAGGGGTACTACTACTACTACTACTACTACCACCACCACTACTACTACTACTGCTCCTACTACTACTCCTACT